AGTAGTAGTAGTAGTAGTAGTAGTAGTAGTCGGTAGTCGGTAGTCGGTAGTCGGTAGTCGGTAGTAGTGATAGTAGCAGTAGTAGTAGTAGTAGTAGTAGTAGTAGTAGTTGTTGTTGTTGTAGTAGTAGTCGTCGTCCTCGTCGTAGTAGTAGTGGGTAACGCAGTAAGCTAGTAGCAGCGATAAATCATGCTGACCAATTTTTCATTCCAGCGATGATCGTAGCATGACCATTAAACCCTAAACCCTAAACCCTACAGTTCTACTGCATGGCTCCTGGTGCTGATCCGTAGTCCGAGAACGAGGCTGACTACAAGTGGTGCAAGTCACTATCATTTGGGCTCCTTTAAGAGCTCCTTTATTGGCTCCTTTATGGGTTCCTGTAAAGAGCTCCTTTAAAGAGTTCCGGTAATGATAGGTCCCTAAACCCTCAATCCCAAACCCTAAACCCCTAAACCCTAAACCCGAAAACCCTAAACCCTAAACCGTGGCTCTGCACTTAAGAGGCTCCTTTTGGGCTCTAAGTGGATTCCCACCCAAGCCGGGCCTCCCAAGCCGGCGCAACACCTGCTAAAGCGGATCGGGTTCGGGGATCAAAGTATAGAATATTAAAGTACATTTATAGTATAGTATAGTATAGTATAGTATAGTATAGTATAGTATAGTATAGTATAGTATAGTATAGTATAGTGAGTATATTATAGTACATCTACAGTATAGTTCAGTACATAGTACATAGTACGGTCTAGTATCGCATATTATAGAAAGTTACAGTGTATTACAATAGTTTTATGGAGTTCTGCTTTCCCTCGCAAGTCACCAAAAGACAGCAGACCCTACCAGGAGTTCTGGGTTTAAATAACTTGCTGCAGCAGCCCGCCTGACTTGAAGAGCGAGTAATCCACATTCTCTAGCTTTGACGGCGGGTAGGAGAAGTGAAACATGCACCAGAAGTCCTGCAACGAGGAGTTCGGAGCAGGCCCAGTATTCAGTATCAGTATATCCTTGATTGGGATCCGCGATGGGGAAGGATGGGTGTGCGCAGTGGTAAGGGCTAGGCTTGAGTCGGCTTGAGATCCTTGTCAGGGTAAACGGCCACAAGTAAGCAAGGCTCCTCCACGGTGTCGAAGGCATGGACTTCCCTCTGGCTTTCGTTCCAGGCTTGGCCCTGGACCACAAGCTATTCAGTCGAATCTGTCGTCACACACGACTCAGAACAGCAGAACTGCATGAATGTAGACTCGCTGATATCACAAATTACTATACTCACTTTCTTTGTGTCCTGAGGAAGCAGTATCATGATTCGATTGCTTCGCTGGTTCTCATGATGATGAGATGCAGGGCCACTTCGCTACCTGCAGAAGCCGAGGAATCCTATCGGCATCATGCATGGCATAGGATCGGTACCAACTTTGTCTATACGGTCTACGTGTACACCACAAGCATGCAGGCAGGCAGGCGACCCGGCGGGCCCATTCCCCATGCCCCCTCCCCCCTCTCCCCCCCCCAAACGGTCCGGCCATTTGGTCATGCCCACTCCCTCCACAGGAACAGCTTGGGCATGAGAAATCGGGTGGTTTGGTTTAGGCCTCCTTTCAGCGGGGGTGCCTGTCCCCTCCCCCTGTGGAACGGCTGGGGTCTTGAGCTTCGGAGTTTAGTACCCCCCCCCTCCCTGTCTCTGAGAAAGGAGCCCTCCGCACAGGCGCCCAAGGCTCCAGACCCGCGTGTTTGGGCGGGATGCCATTGGGGGAGCGGGGGTGGGTTCAGCGCACGACCGATCCGTATGGCATGGGGTGTGGACTACATGTTCCAGGTTGAAATCAAATATACTGATGTACTATACCTGCTGGCCTTCTGCGCCCCTGGCCGCTGATGCACCCAGAGGCACCTGGCGGGGGAGGCTTTGCAAAGGCAAGGGTCATCTTCCGATTACCGCGGCCACTAAGATTCGACGTTTCACATTCGATCCGAGGACTTGCAGCCGTCGCTTGAACCCCAAAAATCCCAAGCAGCAACTCCCAAGCGAGCAAGGCCAGGCCATCGATGCTGCAACTCGTGCTTGGGAGCTAACAATTGAACATCGTCCGTCTCCTTGTCGTAAGACTGCAAAAACACTTTTTTTTAACTCGCCCGCCCTGAAAAACCTACACGATGTCCCCTGCTACCCTTTAAAGGGAGGGAGCACCACTCCCGGGCCGTCCTTGGCCTCCGCCGCTGCGGGCTCTGAGCCACTCGCCATCGCAGCCTGGGGCCGCCGAAGGGGAAGTTTCTGGGTTTAACGGATTGGCAATGTAGGGTTTCAGGGTGCCTGGAGAGCACACCCAAACATGACTTCGATGTCTCTCCAAATCGACGGTCCGGCATCAGGTCCCATAGAGCAATGTCTGCCCGTTTGCCGAGGCGCAGGCGTGATAAAGCCACGGGCCCTCAGCGAAGCCTAGCTACGCTTTGAGCAACCAGACCGATGATGCCAGCTTGTCCTCCCACAATTCCCACAGGCGGGTAGAGGGTTTAGGTGCAATCTGGGACACCATGATCTCATCAGTTCCCATCTGGGCCACAAACCCAAAGACATGGAGAGCACATGCCGAATTTCTGCTCTGCGCATGAATGGCGGCCAGCAGGCCATGTCGCAAAGAAGGGGGCTTCAAAGACACTCCGATAACGTGGTATCACTGCAAGGCTTCCATGTCACCAGCCATGGTCTCGACGACGTGATGCACCCTTTCTTCATCGACTGGCTACACCGACAAACATTAACTTGATGGCACTGAGGGTGGTTGCAGCGAGGCTGTCCCAAACTTGTCCATCGAGCAGATCAACTGTCCAGCCAGGTGTCACTTGGCTCAATCCCTTTCTAGCGGATCCTCAGCAACCGCTTGTGCAGCGCAGCACAGCAAATATCGCAGGCTGTTTGAGATCCACGGTTGGACAGACGGCATACGCTGTCTTTCTCTGAGTCCCTGACGTTGAGGTGCCTCAGCGAAGGAAAGCAATCTTGCAGGAAAAACACGGAAGGCATTTCGACTACTGGAAACTGCAACTGCACTAAGCCTGACCTAGATGCATGTAGAATGCACTTCATGAAAGCCGCAAACTCAGGGACTCAAGATCTACTCGGCCTGATGCATTTCAGCTAGGTACGGAGATCGCGCTGGTTAGTGTTTCCAGCTACGACGACTGTCCTGAAAAGATGTGCTCACAAGAGAAAGCACTGATGATGGCACACTGGCACACACCTGTTAACAGGGTACGCCCTCGGGCCAGAAAAATTGAGGCAAGAGGCTTCTGCCGGCGGTGACGCTGGGTCTGGAGCCGATCAGCCATCGTCATCTGCGCGAGATGCAGCCATGCTGTGTCCGCCAAAACTATGAGAGCAAGGCGTAATGTAGCGTCGCTTGAAAGATTTGGTGTATGAGATTCGGAAAGACTACCAGAATCTTGAAATGTGCCATAATGGCGTCCGTTGCAAGGGTCATCTTCCATGCACCTTCCAAGCCCAAATCCTGCAAGCCGCCTCTGCATCGCCGGCATAGGCGTCCTTGCGCAAGTCTCGGAAGTATTTCCTCAGAGCAGGCCAGGCCTAAGACACATGCAGACCTTCCTTAGTCTGCGTTCTCCTATCATGCAGATGGGGATCCTCTTGTAGTCTGCAATGGTTTCGTAATCCGTTGGCATTCACGCTGAGTCCCTACTGCATCTCTTATGCATCCCGTGAAAATCACACCCTTCCAAAACATGGCAGGATGCCTTAATTGAAGGGAAGCGTTGAAGGGGCGGGGCAGAGGACGGAATGCAAAACTGATGCAGCTCTAATTGGTCATGAACGGCTGCAGGATAGCGCTGCTGTTCAGACAAGGTGCTGATCGGATTTGTCGCGCATCTTGGCCTCCAATTCCTGCGTTGGTTTGGGATAAGAGCTACAGTCGGAACTTTCAAGTGAAGAGACAGTGATCGGCAAGCCTTTCTCGCATATGCATGCATGGCACCGTCCTCGATTTGCTTTTCACGCTCTTCAGTGCTGGCGATACGTTGATCTTTGATCCTGACTGTTTCGGCTTGAGGCTTGAGGGGAAAGGAACTGGCGCAGGGAAAAGCCGATGTCAAAACAGCCGAAGTGGCTTCTCGTGCTTCTTGGCGTCCACCTGCAATGTTGCACTTCAGTTTTCCCCACATTGAAGTACAGTCCGTTACATCGGAATCACGAGACACCTTGAATGCAGCTCTAGTTTAAAGCAACGTCTAAACCCCAAACCCTCAACCCTAATTTAGCCTACTGTAAACCCATTCCGAAGGACCGGAGTCTGAGTCTCCGACCCGCATCTGCTCCACCCGGCGCTCTTTCTCCTCTTCAGTGAGCCGCCTGCTTCCAATCTCTGGGCTCGAAGCTTCAGTGTTTCATATATATATATATATA